CCCGTCCCCCCAAGCAAACACTGGTGGGGCTGGACCGGGCCGGGCATGGGGCATCCTGATGGGGAGCTGGTGCACAGTGTGCCTGGCCCAGCCCATCCCCAGCCCAGCCCCAGCCCAGCCCCAGCCCCAGCCCAGCCCAGCCCCGGCCCAGCCCCAGCCCAGACCCTGCCCCAGCCGCCTCCTCACGCCCTGCTCAGCCTCTGGCCACTGGGACTGCTTGGGTTTTCCCAGCCCGGGCCTCTGCCCCAGCCTCCTCCTTCATGTGAGTTTCTGCCTTCCTGGACCAGGCTCAGCGGCCGGCTCCCCTGCACCCCCGCGAGGCTGCACGGCAGAACCAGCTGCAGAAGAGTCGGACGCCGCCCCGAGGGGGAGGCGCGTGGCCTTCCCGAGGGGCTGAGTGGCCGTTTCCTTGGACCGGCCCCGTGGGGGTGGCTGCGTGCGGCTGGCCCAGCAAAGCGCCGTGAGGCGGGACGGGGTGGACCCTGCTCACAGAAGAGGGCACTGCGAGCCACAGCACAGGTGGCTGGACCGGAGGGCTGGTTGGGCGCTGACCGCCCAGAGGTGGGGCGGAGCCACCCTGAGGCCTGGCCTTGACCGCTGCTGCAGGGACCAGCTACCCCACGGGCTTCTCCGCCTCTAAATGCAGGGAGGTGGAGGGCACTGTCATGGCTCGGGTGTTCTCACTGCTGGGGTGTTCTCACTGCTGGGGTGTTCTCACTGCTGGGGTGTTCTCACTGCTGGGGTGTTCTCGAGGCTGGGCTGTTCCGAGGCTTCCTGCAGTGGGCCGAGGAGGGAGGTGCCCGGAGGGCCGAGCTCTGAGACAGCCGGGATCCTTCGGCACCTTGCACCCCGGCCGTGCCCACGCCGTCTCGCTCTGCCCGGGGGGTGGGCGCACCTCGAGCCGGTCCGCTGTTTGAGCAGGGTGGGCGCCTCCACAAGTCACAGATAAGCGGAGGATTCTCACCAACGATAAGCTTCCATCTCCGCAGAGTCTAAGCGGGGTGAAAACCCAAGGCCGCAAGGACGGCAAACGTGGCCGAAGCTGTGCCCACAGACGCCCCACGGTCCCAGCAGCGTGATGCTCCCGACGTCGCTCTGCCGGTTCTCTGCAGGTATCGGTCACGGACACCCCCAGGGCGCCCAGGGGAGGCCTGCGGGCGACGGCTTCAGGGGCGCCCCAGCCGAGTCCCACCTGCGTCCGTCCGTTTGCCTTTTCTCTCCCAGGGCCCCAGACACGCCGCTTCCTCCGGGGAGAATTCCACCGTGGGCCTGGCCGCCACGGCCCTGCTCCCCGACCGCCAGCCCCGCGGGCCCTCTCCTCGGGCCAATTTTCATTTTAATTTGTTTTTGCGTGGAAGAGCTCAGGCGCAGGGCACAGGTGCGGGGTGAGGGGAGGCAGTGGGAGCAGATGGGGTCCCCCGAACTCCCGCGCTCGGGGCAGCGGGAGGCAGGAGGGTTCTGCGCGCCCCGTGGGTGCCCCCGGCCGGGGTCGGGCCGCAGTGGGACCGCCCGAGACTGACCTGAGTGACCTTCGCTCAGGGCCGAAGGGGGCTTGCCTGCGGGCACCATTTCTCCGAAGACAGAGGAGCGCAGGAGCTGCAATCAGGCTCCTGGAGGCGGACGTCACGATAGCGCAGCCCCTCGGCTTGCCGACACAGACGTGCCCGGCGCTGTGCAGGAGCCGCTGGCCGGGCGGCCAGGAGGGGCAGAGCGGCCGCGG